CGGCCTTGCAGGTCCACCGCCGGGCCCCTCATGGGGCTCGGCAGTGGAGCTGCAAGGCCGGCGGTGGCGGACGGGACCGTTGGGGGTGGTGTGTGTGGCCTTATGACACACTTCCGGTGACGTCAGGGAGTGTGGCATATGCTAATGAGTTACGCTAATGAGTTCCCCTAGTTCTTTTTCTACAAAACGACCCTTGTTGACGCTGTAGGATATTAATTGGTAACAATATTTTAAAAGCTTAGAACCAAGAAATTATCATTATCTTGTAGGAAATTATGTATGTAATGACAACTTTTTGTTTCATGGGTGCGAGTAGGTCAGTGAAATCACAATCATGACAATCTCCACAATAATATTAACCTGGAGAAACCTATGGCTTGGATCCAGACTAACATTTTCATGGATGCACGGACTTCCACTTGATAAGCATGATTTCCCCCCTTCCTGCAGCAACTTGAAATGCTCCTGAAAATCCTATTCGGGAGGAGGGGAGGGTGTTCTCTCAAAGGATATGTAGCACTTCCTTACACGGTTTGAGGCTGGAAAACCATGCTCCACAGGCAGAAGTGCTCATGGAAACTTTACTGTGGACCCAAGCCCAAGTTTCCATTTGGCATTGACAGCGAGGGTGTAATATGGGGATGGAGAAAATGCGTGCTTATCAAGCATCACAGGGAAACAGCATCTTTATCCGTTTTGCATTAAGATTGCAGGCCTAAACAAACTTAGATGGAGTTAATCATATTGAGCTAAGCATAGCTTGTGACAAACGTTCTTAAGGATGTAGAGTATAAGAAATGAACCTGATGAGGTAAAAGTACAAAAAAGATCTAAGATGCAGGATAAAACTTCTTTCAGTTTGTAGGACACACTCTTCATGTGACATTTGTCCCTTGGATATGAATTTCAACAGGGCCTCATCCTAAGTATTTTTTATAGGATCCAGACTTCCTTGTCTGAGAGCTGGAAGCAAAGCTTGACAGCTGGGAAAAGTCTAAGGACTCTGTGAAAACAAAGTGCAAAAATAGACAAAAAATTGCCTTTTTAGTGCATGCTAGATATTCATTCAGGCCACTAGTCTACAGTTGATGCAATCTAATCCCGAGGTGAGCTCCATCTGCAAATAGTAAAGATGTTCTGCCCTTGGTGAAAAGATAACTTTCTGAATTGCCTGCTCCATTATCAGATCACTTAGCATTGGGCATTGTCCTTGGACTGAGCTTCAGTATACAGCATCTTTTTGTATGCTACCTACATATTAACACAAAATAGCTGGTATACCAAGGTTTTTTTTTTTCCATAGAAAGAAGCCAGGAAGAAATATTTCTCCAGTCAGTGGATGGAGCTCAGTGTCCCACCTAACCATTTTACACTGTGCTGAAGCTGCAGTGGAATTTGGTTTAGGATTCTTGCACTTAAGTTTCTACTGGACCCACTATCTCTGTACTTGTTTGGTGACATAGTGCTTGCAAGTATTTATAGATCATCAAGTGCCTTTCCAGCCTATGGGTTGGATCCAGCCAGGTTTTCTACTGGGTGACAACCAGATAAGGGATCTTTTTTTTTGACTATGCATAAACTATCCTGGGAATCATGAGACCAGCAAGGACCAAAGCCATGTAAAACGGAGGCTGTAGTAACAAGACTAAGTGAAAAAGCTGTCTGGATCCGACACTATTGTTTTATGGCACAATAAATTGATAATTATAATTTATTTGATGCATTGATTCTAGACATCTTGAGCTAGAAAAGGAGAAACCCCCTCCCATTCCTAGCTTCTATTTAATATTTTTATACCACCTTTTCTGCCAATGCATTCAAGGCAGTTTACAGGTTTAACAATAGTTTATAAAGCAAAAGACACAAAAGTAAAGGAAACTGTGTGGGAGGGAAGGAAAAAAACAAGCAAACTGAGGTACCAGTTCTTACATCAGGGATACATAGTATACGTAGGATGGTTATTGTTCCAGACCTCATCAGTTTTAATTCTTTTATCATATTATTTTTATGTTTACTGAATTTATGTCTTCTCCCCCCCACCATCATTCTCATTTTTTCTCTTCAAAGATGGTTATTTTGCTGGCGCAACCTGCCTGGATTGTAGGTTATAATTCATCTTTAGAAGACCAGTTCCCCTTTGTAATTAGGGGAGAACTTTCAACTATCAGACTGTATCTGCCTCTGTCCAGAAGTGCCTTCTAGGCAGGGCCGGTGCCAGATTTTTTGAGCCCGAGGCAAGGCCAACCACTTGTGTCCCTCCCCCCAACTATCAGCTTTCAAAATCAGATGAATTGTAGGAAAAATGAAAAGCACAAAACTTGAAATGGCTATTTTTTAAAAAATTGCAAGAATAAGTAATACAACAATCTTTGATTTTCTTTCTCAAACAGAAAACAGTTTTAGCAAACAAATCACAAGTCATTTTGAATAATCCTGGGAATTGTGATGTTAAAATTTAAGGCTCTTGAATGTTTCCGTTTTAGGAATATCTAAATCTCATTTTGCGTGCCCTTTCCTTTGCACATTTTGTCACTAATTCCTTCAGGTCAAGTGCTGATGCTTCAACGTGTTTATTAATTTAGCTTGCCATCTCTCAGCCACCGGATTAGGACTAGGACTAGGTTTACAAAAATTAAAAAGGTAAAGGTTCCCTTGCTCGAAAGCCAGTCGAGTCCGACTCTAGGGTTGCGGTGCTCGTGTCCGTTTCCAAGCTGAAGAGCCAGCGCTGTCCGAAGACATTTCCGTGGTCATGTGGCCGGCATGACTAAACACCAAGACGCACGGAACGCTGTTACCTTCCCACCGAAGTGGTACCTATTTATCTACTTGCAATGTCTTTCTTTCTTTCTTTTTTTAAACACACAGTTCTTTATTGAAATTTTCCAAATAAAATCCACATATACAGCTATATCCTCGCGAGGATAAGCGAGGCAATGTCTTGCTTTCGAACTGCTAGGCTGGCAGGAGCTGGAACTAGAGACGGGAGCTCACTCCATCATGCGGCACACTCGGGTCTCGAACTGCTGAACTACCGACCTTCCACAGCCTGCAGTTCAGCGTCTTAACCACTCGAGCCACCGCAGCTCAAAAATTACAAGAATGCAAAAGAAAGTATCAAACACCTGTGGCTGAGATCATCTACTGCCAGCCATACTTGCTGAGTCCCAGGGCATTGCTGACTTGTAAGTAGGGCATTAATATAGCTTTAGGGAAGGATGTGGGAGCAGTTGCAAATTTTTTAGTGTAGAGTTATTTTTTCCCTGCACTTGCTCCTCTGCAGAAATTATGCTCTGCACATTGCTACAGCAGAATTTCCCTACTTTCCTCCTCTTTCTTGCAGCCATGAAGCTGTCTTTCTGCCCATTTCTTTCCAGACACAGTCCATAGGCAGAAATTTTTTTTAGTGGAGGGGCAAACGAGTACAATGGTGGTCCACCTATAATTATTTATTCACTTTATTTATTTATTTATACTTTATTAGTTATTTACCAGTTTTCTACTTGAGATTCAAGGTGGATTACATGGTATTGAACATTGTAATCAAATAGCATATGAGATGTGACTAGGACTAGGTTTACAAAAATTACAAGAATGCAAAAAAAGAAGTATCAAACACGCTATGTCAAGCAATGCAGAAAATAGAATTACAAAAAATGAAAACAATGCTCTAAGAGCATGATAGAACATTCAACAAATCAATAATATACAGCACACACTGTGGCATAGACTACAGTCCTGTTCTCTATAAGCTTTATAAAAATGCCCTCCCAAGAAACTATGAGAGCCTTCTTCCAAGACAGGCCCAAAAGAGACAACAGCAGAACACCACTAGTGGTCACATACAGCTCTCAGCTCAAAACAGTTAAACGCATCATCAGCAACTTACAGCTTCTACTAGATAATGACAGCTTTCTTTCACAACTACTGGGGGGTCAAACCTCTTCTAGCACACAGACAGCCCCCCAATCTCAAACAACGACTCACCCACAATAGTACAAAGATCTAATTTGAACCTGGACATTGGTACCAGAGCGATGCCAACTTTGCTGCCACATACACCCAGATTCTTTTCTAAGTGAACAAACATAGGCTCAAGCAACAGCAGCATGATCCCTGAGGTGCCCACAGGTGGGATCCTCTCCCAGCAACTTTCAATCTTCAGAGCAAACACAAAACGCCACAACCCTCCCCTCTGTGAATAAGATTCCTGTAGGTTAGCATATATTAGCCAAATAAGATTTGCGCTCACTTACCTCTGGACCTAAATTTCTTATTATGTGTCTCCTGTCAAAAATAATTTCCCCAGCAATAAGAGTTCTACAGGACTATTGTGAAACACTGTCCTGTTCTTCTCTCTTTTTCTTTACATTCTTCTGAACCTGCTACACCTTTATTATCCCTTCATTCCTTAATCTCACTCTCTGCTTTACTGCAACATGATTTCACTCCCCCCTCTTCTGCTAACTGTGAATTCTGTTCTAGTCAACAGCATAGAGAATTCACCCTTGGAAGATTTATGGCAGGATTCCCACTGTTTACCTCAACTTCCTCCTTTTTTACTAGAAAATTTGCATCTGATAGATGTGTGACAGATTTCACACCCATA